GACGAGAGTGCAGTTGAATGTGCTGCCAGGCCGAGGAGGATCTGCGGGCTCCCAGGGACAAATGGAGAGGATTGTCGCCCCTGCAGTCGAGTTAAGTGTTTTATATTTTCGTTTAGCAGCTGAAAGTTGCATCCTTGGCTCGTATCTGGCCTGCATCCTGCATCCATCCACCCAGCCATCCATCCATCCACTAACTGCTGCCGGCTGCGTTCGTTGTTTTTATGCAAAAGTTAAAAAGCACAGCCGCACAAACAAACACCCGGGCAGGCTAGGATACACTCTCAAATACTGACTCACTTTTACCTGGCCCACTGCAGTTTAAAGCACTTCGAGCCCAGATTCGAGAGTTTTATTGGTAAATTGGACAGATTGGGGCAAAGTTATATTAATGTCAACGCCTGTTAAGGCAGGGTATTCAAATTTATATATCAAAGCGCAGAGTTCATACTGCCTGGTTAGTTTTGTGGCCAGAAAGCCAATGAAATTTTATGGGGCAATAAAGTAGATGCCATAAAATATTTAGACGTTTTCCAGTTTGAAATTGATTTTAAAAAACATCAAATTTAATCACGCTACTACTCCTTATTTTTTGTTATATTTTGTTGTATGAAATACTTGGATTGTGTTGAAAGATGTCTCATTACGTAGAAAGTGAGTTACAATTTATCACTCCCTTGGCGGCAACTCAATTTAAAATTTAATTCGGCAGCACTTTCGCTCCACCTTAGCCAAACAAACGACTGTGACACAGAAAAAACAATTACGTTTATTCCTCATGCAAAACGTGTTTAGGATGCGCCACATTTTCCACATGCATCTTACTTGCCCCATCCTCGGCCGCGTCCTGCTGGCAACATCATTAGAGGACTCACAAAAAAGGAGCAAACGGGGAGCGAAATATATGTATATAAAAAGTGTGCGGGCAAATGAAATTTAACCTGCTATCAACAAATTGCGCTACTTTGCAGGTTAACTGCAGTGGAACAGACGGAGCAACTGCGTCCGCTAGACAACAACACCAAGCAGAAACAACAAGTTGAAACGCACTCAACTGTGGGATACCTAGTTCCTAATTTATGTGTTAATATATGCTAAGAACTACAAATCGAAACGAAATGCCTATTTCGTGAAGTGGAACTGCATAGAAATGGGAAGCGTTGGCCGAGCTAGAGATAATAACGATATCATATCAAACCAAGATTCAAAATACAAGTAAATCTGGATTATGCGTTCTGCCCAGGCGTGCATACCCTTCATTCCAAACGTACCCCGTGCAGAGGAACAACAAGCGGCAGGAACTTCACTTGATGTGCATGACTTGCAACAAAGCGAGAGTCCCTGGGAAGTGCAGTTGATTGCTGACTCTGGGTTTGGTTTATATATGTGTGCGAGTGGGGTTGCGGGTGGGGTCGTCATCTATGGATCTCTGGGCTCTGTATCGCGATGAGCAGGGGAGAAGCTGTTAAAAGCACTGAGGTTACGACGTGTCGGAATTTTTATGCGTTTTAAAGTATTTCCATGGGCCGGGCGGTGGGGGAAAGTGGAGCCCGTAAAACGGTATTAAGCGTGGAAAACTAAGTTATGCGACAGAGCAGAGAGTTACGTAGAGCGCCATAACAACTTAGCACGTACAGCCAGTAGTCCTGACCGTACGTGTGTTAGAGAGTATCTGTGTGCAGAGTGTGTGGCAGAGTGTGTGTGAGGAGGGGGGTGGTAATGATGTGGGTGGCTGGAATGACACGTTGCGGAAGTTGTGGCTTAGTTGCGGGCGAGTGGAGGGCCAGCCGGCAGTTTATGTCTGCGAGCTTAGCTCAAAAATACGCCAACTTGTTTGCTCAAAAGGCATAAAACATAAAAAATACTCCCACGCACACACACAGTGCCGTGAAGTCCTTTATGCTGCCATTACCACATCATAAAATCCCTCTTTTTGTGTCCAACTAATGATGGATGAACCATAGCCACAGGTATAGAGCGCAGTAAAGATATCAAGCTGTTTCATGACCCACATGCTCCACTCTTTTCCCTGAATTTATACCAACTTCGTGGTATGTGCTCCTGTAATGACTTCATTCGAACAAAGTCCGCACACGAGCGTTACATTAATTATTACCCACAGAATACGCGAACACTCCGTTTCCATATTTTACGCCGGATTTTGTCTGACAAATTGAAAATGTTTTTTCCCCGCGAATTAGCACAGAATTCTGCATTTGCTGCAAATGTAATAATTAATATACTAATTGTGAGATAAATCGATATCTATCTACATTTTCGTATTTTTCATTTATTCATTTATTGTTCATACATCTGTGATTCGATCGCCTAGGCTGCAATCACGATGCTAATAAAAATATATAATAATATTAATGTAATGGCATATGTGTAGTGAAGCTTAGATATTTCATGAACGTACACTTAATTACATGACAAATAAATAAATTATTCAAAGCAAATAAATGGGTATGGAAAGATAATATGAATTTAGCTTTAAACAGTATTTTAGTTTTTTGTCGAGTTCCTCCGAGTGAATAATCAAAGCTAATAATAATTAGGCATTTTTTCCCAGTGATCTAAAACAAATAAATAAAAAAAAAGGTAATGCACTTATTAGCCATGCCAAAAATATCTGATAAGAGCACAAATCAATCAGCTAACGCTTGAAATATCAAACGCATTTTCGGACCCATTTAATTGGGTCTTTGGTGAGAAAATATTTGTTCTGATTTCGAGTCTATCGGTAAAATTTAATTAGAAAGATGAAAAACTGCCATGGTTGTTATTCTATTCTATTTCATAAAACATCTCGTGTTGCTGGTGAGTTAGCAAACTGGAAATGTCAAACCGATAAATGCAACTGAAACGTCCGGAAAAGCATTTTCCACCAGCCGACGCCGCTACATTTGCGGTCATTCCTGACAGTTTGCAAAGCAAATAATAATATAAAAACGAATTTCCCTGCCCCTTGCCCTCCGACCGCGCTGCATAATTGATAGATGGGAAAGTGGGAAAATAGAACAACGGAAAGCGGGCGGTCCAAAATGTGTGTTTTTGATAGTCACTCCGACACGATACCACAGACTATTAGGGTCTATTAAACGACATCTAATGCCTGTCAGCTTTTCCAGCACCTACATTTGTTCAGTAAATATAATGCAGGATACGTGGGTTGAGCCTGCGGTTTTTCATTTTAACACAAATATTTATTTATGCATTAAAATCAGGACAACTGGCTAAATATTATTGCTGCAAGCAGTCCAAATATCGGCTGTCATGTTTATATGATGCATAATTAACAAGAGAGAACGCTACATCGAGTTTCCCGACTATCAGCTACTCGAAGAGCGAATATTGATACACACACACGTACCTAAAAAAATAATAAAATTAAATAAATCTAAGCATTAAATAAATTAAATATATATAAGCATTTTTTAAATGTGTGGTCGTGACAGTTTAGGTCGGTTTGTGGGCGTGTCAATATTTAGAGATACACTTTCGTCTATGTCCAGATACATGTCCAGATCCACTCGACTAGTGATCCTGATCAATTATATATATTTGTACGCTTCCTTCTACCTGTTATATGCTTCTCAGGGAAGCTAGTATATCCTAGTATAACAGTTGGCAAAAGGTTGATAATGACATGTAAACTTTTCCCGGCTTTAATCAAATGCCGTACAAAATTGGCTTGATTTTGATAATGGTATTGCTGGCGATTTTGTATAAACCACTATCTGCATCTAACGCAGCTCAAGGCCTCGAAGTGGATTTAATGCAACTCATTGAGCCCTGGGTCACAGAAGAGCAAATATTTACCTGCACACAGGATGAACCTCTGCTGTCACCTGGCCTCATCCCATTTCTTGGCTGCACCTCATCCCTCAAAAAATGCTGCACCAACCAGACCAGTAACAAATTTGCCAAAGGCAGTCCTTTTTGGCCTCTTCCTCTGAGGGAAAATTTCTTTTGGTTTATTGAGCAGGCGGAGGGCTGCTGCTGCTGCTCCATTCCACCCAATGGGCAAGGCCAAATTGGATTTGCCACGTTACATGACGTCGACACTCACAAAGTACACAAACAGCAGCAGGGGAACTGTGGCCCAGGGATAAGATCGGAAAGGACAACCAGGATATGCAAATCTCAAGGTTGAGCCTGCAGTTAGGGCTCAATTTTGGGGCATCGTAAAATTGCAATTTATGAAATATCGTAAAGTCGTCGGCCTCGTCGATTCCCAGACCAATTAACAGTCCACACAAAGCGACTGCCATAATTGCTGCCTTCCGGCCTTTGAAAACTCATTTCCTGTCGCAGGGACGAGATCCTCGATGGGCCTGAGACCAGGGTCACTTCATCCCACGAGTGCGAGCATTGGATTCTCCTCAAGCACTCCAATTTGCCCTTTGTGTGTCCCTGTGTGTTTTTCTAGTATTAATTACCCCTAATTAAGTTCACATTGCCCTGGAAAACTACAGAAAAAGGAAACCCATGGCCGGCGGGCCTGGAAACCTATCGAGTGAAATGATTAAACAACTGCCGCAGCAGAATATCACAAGTTATTTTTACTCGTAGCCCAGGACTGCAGGCCATGTCCTGAGAAATGTGTTGTAAAATGTTTAATTAAAGTATGCAAAGTTGTGGCAGCTGGCGCCACCTGTGTGTAAATAACTTCCGGGAAGGACAAATTTTTGAAAAGTCTGTACTCGAATTTCTTTTACTCTTTGAATAAAGCAACAAGCAATTTTGGAATTTTTAAGCCATTGAACTTATTAGCTGTTACTGTTCTAGTCGCAGCAAAAGAAATTTGATGGCAGGATGTTCTGTAACAATTTGTAAAATGTGATAAGACAAAGCAGAAGTGAGTAATAACAAGAAGCCAAGAACACTGGAATCCCGCTAATAATTTTAAGCTTTCAGTAAGTTTTGATATTACCATTAGAAACGTCCTTTGGAATAATTACTTTTCCCCGGCAAGTTTACATTCAGAGTTCGTAGCCATGTAGTTGACTCAGCTTGGCATGTAATGTAATTTCTTTTGTAAGTGTGCTCGTGTCACATAGGTTGAAACTGATTTTAATTAATTTTCGGAAGAGGCCAAAAACTTTACACAGCACTAACTGGCATAAGTTGGGGATGACCAACTTTTACCTGGGCCCGCTGTCTAATCTGTGTCTTCATTAACATGGCCCCGGGAGCAGATGGTTCCACTTCCTCCACATTCTCATATCCCCACTCCTCGGGGGCCCGAAAACTTTGCTCTGCCGTTGACTTTTCGTGTGTATGATTGCCTTAGATGGTAATAGCAGGTGGGTCCGACGGTTCTCCAACGAGCTCGACGACTGGCTTCTGCTTCTGCCTCCGAATCCGAATTCGAATTCGCTTCCGTGGATCACTTGCACTTTGAGCCGCCGCAAGGGGAGCAGCAGGGGCTGCAGCACGGACTGCAGCACGGAGTGCAGCAAGGTGTGCAACAGGGAGTGCAGCAGGGGGTGCAGCAGGGCGTGCAACACGGCACGCAGCAGGGTGTGCAACACTTGCAGCAAGGCGTGCAGCAAGGGGTGCAACAGGGGGTGCAGCAAGGACTGCAGCAGGGGCTGCAGCAGGGTCCGCAGCAGGGGCTGCAACAGGGTCCGCAGCACGGACTGCAGCAGGACCCGCAGCAGTCATTGCAGCACGGTGGACAGCAAGGGCTGCAGCAGGGGGAGCAGCAAGGTCCGCAGCAGGATCCACAGCAGGGGCTGCACATCTTCGATTCGTGCTGTGAGTGGGAGTACCTATTAAGTGGGAGATGGCCAAGTGCGCGACAGGTGTCCACTCACCTTGAACCCGTCAGAGATCTCGAGCCCGGGGCTTGAATTTGATTTGTGTGTGTCCGTGTGACTATTTACCTACAAAATGAGTTTCTGCTGACATTTCCGTTTGAGTTTTAAGGCGAAATGTCAAACTACTTAAAAATAACTAGGGTTAATTAGAGGTAGAAGATCATTTTTATTTCGCAGATGTCTTAAAAACTTTTTTGGAATAAACTTTGTGCTTAGATGTGACTGTTTGTTTTTAATTCAGTACACTTAGTTTTTATTTACGCACTCCTTAAAAAACATATTTAAGTCGTCTTCTCACTAAGCAAATATTCGCAAAAACGCTAATTAATTATTCCCAAAAAGTCATTCAAGTTTTAATTGAATGTATTCGGTTAAATTATGAGGCATACCGCCCAGCTTAAATTAAATCATGAATAACTAAATCAGCGTACAAAGTTAACATATGTCTAACGGAATTGTGTTTGTTATAAATTAAAATATGCAAAAAAAGAGTCAAAACAAGGGAGAATTGCCCGACTATCAGATACCCGATACTCAGCTAGTGGAGGTGCGAACGAGAAATGTCAACATTTTCTGGAATATCGTAGAATTTGAAAAAAAAAAAAAAAAAAATACTTTTTTAAAAGTTCGGGCTTGACAGTTGTTTCGGTTTGTGGGCGTTAGAGTGGGCGTGACCAAAAGTTCTTAGGCAATCTATAGAAATTTAGAAGATATATAATAAAATATCACAATTTTTTTCAAAGGTGTGGGCGTGACAGTTTTGTACGATTTGTGGCGTTGAAGTGGGCGTGCCAAAAAGTTTTTTTCCAATTTTTGTGGGCGTGGCAACATTTGGAAACGAACTATGTCTCTGGAAGCTGCATTCCTAATCTCAACATTATAGCTTTTGTAGTTCCCGAGATCGAGGCGTTCATACGGACAAACGGACGGACAGGCGGACATGGCCAGTTCGCCTCGACTATTGATCCTGATCAAGAATATATATACTTTATATGGTCGGAAACGCTTCCTTCTGCCTGTTACATACTTTCCAACGAATCAGTATACCCTTTTACTTTACGAGTAACGGGTATAATTACAGCTTAACCACATTTTCCCAAGACAATCACTTTATTGGGCCGACTAAAAGTCGTTTGTCATAGACTTTCTTTTAACTATTTTATCTGGTTCAGTTATGTTACTCATACGCCGCGAATAAAATATGAACTTAATAGATTCTGTGAATAGAGACGAGCTCGACAAAGAGACGATTCAATTCGCCGTCGTCCTTGTTTTCACTTTTGTTGTCAGTTTCCCTGATTGGGATTCCCGCCTCCTCCAGCCACACACGTTAATCAACAGCTTCGTGCCGAAATGCAAACTAAGCGAATTTCTGGCATCTGTTTTATTTGGTTAAAGCTGAGCTAAACATTTGGGCGGCAACCGGGAGGCGGCAGCCTTGAGCAGGTTGCTTTGACAAATCACCACCCCGAAATCCATCGCCACATCCACACCCACATCCGCAGTGGAGGAGCTCCTCCAGCTGGCGACGCTGACAATTGAACGGCTTTGATCTTTTCAGCGCGTTTCTCTCCAATTTTTGCGTGTCGATTGCGCTGATTGTGAGTGAGTGTGTGTGAGTGTGCGCGAGTGTGTGCGAGTGTGGGTTGCCAGCGGGCATGTCCTTCTGGCCGGGTCCTACAACTTGCCCGGGAGTGTCGAGCCGTCAGTTGGGCGCTGTATTTGTCAGAGGGCGACAACGAGCCTGGCAGCGGCATTGAATGCATGAAACCTTTTGTCAATTACGCCTGCGTCCTCCACCGCCCAATTTCCCCAGCTCCCCGACTATTTCCCTTTTTCCGGCTGTTGCCGTGGCCCCGCCCCCTTGTCAGTGGCGTAGATCGGGGGCTCGGGGAGTTCAAGGAGCAATGGAGCAGTGGAGCAGATGTGCCATCCTGAGGGGCAAAAATAGGCATAGATGAAATGATTGCTGTTTTCAGCTATGCATACTCGTGCGGCAGCAACTCACTGCCACTGCCACTGCCACTGTCATTGCCACCTTTCTGGCCATCAAGGGCTCGCGCCAATTAAATTGACGTGCAAGTTGTCAAACTCGAAATGATTTTACGCTACATTCGTCGTTTTAATTGGAGCACAAATTCTGCCATGGGTATGTCGGGTTGGTACCTATTTGGACGATTTACACATGCACACCACACGCTCTTGTCATTCAATTTGCAGTGCTGATACATTGGCACCCGTTCCATTATGCGTCAATCAACTTCTAGATGCTTTACTTTTCATATTCTGCTTCAAAAAATTTAGGTAGTCGGTCTGAACATTTGTCATAAATTTTTATTTCTTTTATACACCTAGTAAATGATTGTATTTTTTAAATATTGTATTGATTGTACATTTTTATTTTATTATATACCTAGTAAATGATTGTAGTTCTCTCCACATATCTATTTACTTACAGTGAGAATTTGGTCATATCATATATTTATTTGAATTTATTAGAATATATTTGAATTTATTAGAATATATTTATTCAAGTGCTATTTTTAATCGACTGTCCCTCGAGCCTGCTGCATATGTATCACATTTAAGAACTGGTTTGTGGAAACGATCCAACTCCACATTTTGCGAGGAATATGAAGCTGCCAGCGACAGGCGCAATTATGTCAAAGTCAAAACTCGAAAGCCGTCTTCTTTCCAGCAAGCTCCCGCCAAAAATTAATGTGATACCGAAAATATTGTTCAGTCATCGGGCAGAAATAAAGGCCCAGAGGGATGAAATCAATTGCTTTGGTTGGCAGCAGGGGCGATTCGGGGTTCTGGCTCGGTTCGGATGGTTCGGATGGTTCAGCCGAAATTGCCAGTTAATTGGCAATTCAGCAAATAGCATGCGTTTTAGCGGACCTTCCGCATTCTGCCAACTCATCGACATGGCTGCGTCCCTTGGACGTTGGACGTTGGACAATTTTGGGCCCACTGGGGCGAGAGCATGGGGTCGCCCGCCGGCCCACCGGCCCACCAAACAACAATCAATTTTAATGAACGGCATTCATTAAAAAACTTTGCTGCGGTGTGAAAATCATGATGGTGACGTTGTCTCCCGCCAGCCACTTAAAGGCCATTGATTCATTTGAAACCGAAAACTGGCATTTGCCAAACAGACAAGTACGAGTGTGTATCTGAAGCTCGGCTGGGAAAGGAAGCCGCAGGACGCGCCATCAGATGCAGAGGTGGTCACCACCCACTTGAACGGCCAGTGTGGTTAGACCTCCTGCTTCGCCTGCTCCTGACTTGGCGGTTTCGTGTGAATCTGGCCTAAACACCATACACTCATTTGCTACAGTTCAGTTAAATGATGTTAACTTGTCCCTGCTGGTTTCACATTTGCTTTTTGTGTGCCAAGGCGGTGGGAAGGGATTATTTAGTTAGGGAAACTGAGGAGTTATTTACTTTATTAAGCAGAGAAACACTTAAATTCAAGCAATGTTCATCGCGCGTTTAAACGTATTTCCCGCCGTTCATGTTGACATGTACACATGCATGCAAATTAAAGCAGGATGTTTGCCTCCAGCTTTAATACCCAATCAACTAACACAGACCACCCAAAATGTCCTCCTCCCGAACACAAACACCCGAACCAGTAGCGCCATGTACGTGACATGTGCCTTGCTGAAATCGAAGCCCAAAATTGTCATTTCGATTAACAAGAAATCCACTTTCCTCTTACTTTTTCTCCCGCTTCTCTGGGCCGCCCCCAAATCAATTTCAGCATCGCACTCACAGACGTCGGCGGAGGCGGCAGGCGGGAGGGCATCTGGACCCGGAGCAGGAACATCAGAGGGAGCAGGAACCTCGTCCTCATCGTCATCGGCAGCCTCCACGGCCATCAGCTCCGATGAGAGCGGCGACCCATCATCGGCGACCGCGTTCTCCAGCTTGGCTCAAGTGTCCTCGCTGCTGCCGGAGGCATCCGCATTGTCGGCGACATCGGGACTCGTGGAGCCCTATCTGGATGGCTATGCCACTTCCAATGTGACCACTCAGATCGGGACACACGCGTATCTGCCCTGTCGGGTGAGTGCTGCTCCAGCTAAGTCATTTCATCTCCATTTGCCCAGCTAAACGAGCTAAATCTGCAGAAAAATAAATTCATAATGCCTGCGATATTTCCATTACAGTCGTCATTGCCTACACCCACCTAAAACTTAATTCTATGTTTTATACTGCAAAATTCATACAGCTTACAATACAGTAATTCAGTGCTTAAACTTGAATAAAACCAAGATAACATTTTTTAGGAACCGTTTATACTATTCGTAATGATGCAGTTAATATCGACAAAATTCTAAGCTATTAGTTTTGTGCAAACACTTTTTGTATCTCATAAACGACAGAAATAGGGCACAGAACGCGGTCATAAATATCTGCAAGTGTTTGAAAGTCCGGGCTAACCACCAAAGCTTTGTTATTCCGGTTCCACACACTTTGTTCGCCGTAGGGGACTCCACCTGTACATTCGCACACAAAGTTGCGTGCTGTTTTGCGGAGGTGCGTGCGTGTTTTTATTTGTAATTATTACTACTATTGTTGTTGTGACTGCCCTCATCACCGTGACCTGCCTGAGGTCCGCATAGAAAGCCCATTAAATTTTATTGCGCAAATATTTGTGGGATGCCCGGAACACTTTGGAGCAGTCTGAGTATTTAACGCAAGGCTCAAAAACAAATGCCAAACAAACGTGGCCAAGGAGCTCTCAGGCGATTTCTCACACGCTTTTCCATTGTTTGCGCAGGTGTTTAGAGGTCAACGGAAAGATCGGGGGAAAAGCCAGGGTCAGGGGGAAAAGCCAGCGCCAGAGGCACGCAGTCGGGCAAATTGTTTGCTTACAAGTTGTAAATATTTTATTTAGCATAAGCGAAAAGTGAAAATTAAATTTCAGCAAATTAGTTTTATGGCATCGCAATGGGTGCCAAGTTTTCGCAGTCTAGGTCAGCCACGTTACGTGACCAATTTGCCAATGGGCAGGTGTTGCTAATTATTCAGTATTTATTTAATTTGGGCGTTGGGACAGGTGTGATCGTGTTTCAAAGTAGCTCAGACATTTGTTTGAAGATTAGGCGAAATACAAACACAAATGTGTTGATTGCCGGCAGAGACAACATTATTGTTATCAAATGCCCTCTGGGATTAAAGATTAAACAAGGAAAATATATTACTTTTCGTTACAAAAGCAGACAGATTAAATTCAAGCTGAATTCATCCAATTTGCCAAGCTGTCTTAGAGGCTTTTGCAACTCATTCGAAGCCAAAGTTATTCCGAGAATACAGCAATTTCGGAGCTCAAATTCCTGGTAAAATACAAAGCATTGGAAAACTCGCATTAATCGCGGCTGAAATATTTAATACGCGATGTGCTGGGGAGGGAGTCCGTGCGCTCGGTGTTCTGTAATTTTCCAGCCGAGCAATGTTAATTTCTTGTTGTCATGGTCAATTAAGTGCTCCTCCGCCGAGCTCAGCAACCCACAGCCTAGACTGCCATAACACCTCCACCAGCCCAGCCATCATTTCCCGATCCAGGAATGAAAAGTATAAGGCTCGCATCTCAATTTTCGTCAATTACTCGTCGTTGGCTTTACACTTTATGCCCGTCCAGGATGACACGCCCAGTTTGCTCGGCGCTCCTTTCGCCGGTCTCCATTCTCCGGGAGCCTTTCATTCCATTCTCTGTTCAAATGCTGCATTAAGTGCCACAGTTGAGTGAGTCCTCTTAGCCAGGAGGGACACAGGAGGAGCAGCAGCAGGAGCAGGAGACGAGGTTGTGGACGAGCACAGGAGCCAGACAAAGATTGCTCTTCGGTCCGCTTCTTTTCAAATTGGCCTCACTTGTCCGGACATTCGATGACATCAGGTGGAGTAGAACATCCTTTTGGGCTAAATGGCTTATTTGAAATATTCCAAGCAGCAGCTTATTTGTAATTGTCGGAGCTTAACTTTTGTCCGCCCAAGAATGCGCACTCGAATCGAGTGGAGTTGCAGTTGGACTGATTCTCGATGTCGTTGCCATCAAAAGTAATCTCGGCATCGGAATTTTACCCAAACTAAATTAGTAATCCGCCTGTGCAGCAGGCTGAGGCCAATTAAGTGCAACGCATGCAACGAGCTCCTAATGAGCTCGTCCTTGCAACGGAATTACAGGGCGTTGACAGCTTCTACACAGTTTAGGGAGACCCGTAGATCCACTTGCAGAGGACTACAACTAACCAGAGTGCCCGACCAAACCAGGACCAAAGTGTCGAATGGACAAAATCGTTTTAGTGCTCTGCGTGCGCCTATAAATGCATTTTAGATTTACTAACTACGACACATTTCGATAATATCTGAAACATGCCGTTCCCGATGCAGATGCCCCTACTTGCGAGCCTCGGCGGCTCCTGCGCTTGTCCATCGTCCATCTGTCGGCCGGGTTTCATGTTCATTTCGGTATTTAATTACATTTCAATGTAGTTTCTGTGGGCAGCCACGCAGGCCACTGGACCCCACTTACCAACTTCTGGCCCATCTGCATTCGGTTGCAGTAATTTACTTGCCTCTGTGTGCGCCGGCACTTTGACATTTCTCTTCCACTTGTTGAGCAATTCCCGTGTGGACGTCCTAGTCACAGGAGGTTGTCCTTATCGCTAATGGAGCGCACTGTCTACACCGTAGATGGGGTGTTTAATCTCGGTTGGGGTGCCCAGTTAAGCTGCTCCAGCTTCCAACGGCGAAAACCAATATTGGCAAGTGACACTTTCGTAGTAATAGGGCAAAATTCAGGCCACAAAAATTGACTTTGGCCATAAACAAATAATCTTGAACAACAAACAAGTATAATACTTTATAACGTATTGAAAGAAAATAATTGTAGATTTGCTCATTTGCTTCTAAAAATAGCAGTTCAATTATATATTCCTTAAACTATTAAATGCTATAAAAATCCGAAATATAAAAAGATGTTATGCGTGTTTCGCTTGCTGTATTAAATCATTATGTCATATACTGTGGTTTCCATCAGTTTTACATTGCCCCTTTTTATTTAAATCACAAGCAGCTAGAGTAAATATTTGATCAACCTCAATCCCATTTATAAACCAATTTGCTTGTCTTATTCCCGCAGGTCAAACAGCTGGGCAACAAATCTGTGTCCTGGATTCGTCTGCGAGATGGACACATCTTGACCGTTGACAGGTAATTAACAAACTCATTGCCAGACATTTGAAATCGAGGCTGGACGGCTATCTGCTGACAATTACAAATCAATTTTCTCTTTAATATCCCTGGAAATTCTCAAGTGCCTGGAGGACACAGCAAAGCCAGTGGCATAAACGATATAATTCACAGATGAGCACAAATATTTGTGTAATTAGTGAATTTAACAGGCTCGATTTCAAATGCCTTTCTTGTATCTGGCGCTCGTTCAGATGTAGTTATACAATTTCAGCGGTAATTTACTGATTGCTCTGTTTGAGACATTCCGGACATTTGCATTAAAATAATGAACGACAGTAATGCTATGTGCCAATTAAAATATCATGAGTGGCGAAAATGACCCTGATGACCCGGATGATTACCCTTTGGGCTAAAATATGAAACAATCACATTGTGCTGCCTCTTACTATTTTCTACTTTTCGGTAAGCCAATTCACTGGCTAACTTCTGACTCTTGAAATTATACACTCCCAACTTGTTCGTTACGTTTGCTTATATCAACATCCATTCCCAGAACTCCGTGGAGACTGCCCAATTTGATTCCTCCGATATTTTCGAAAATTCGATTGAGACAAACCCTTTTCAACAAAATGAATTAAGAGTATAAACTTTGAAGCTGCCGAAGAGCCCCTTCAATTTCAATCTGCGTGTCCTCGAAGAGGGCGAGTTGCAGGTGTGTCATCAATGATGCGAGTTGTGGATGCTGGATGTGGATATGTCCTTTTCCTGTTTTTCCTGTATGACAGGCCAAGCGGAAACGCAAGTGTGCAATTTCATTGAATTTTTTCACCTCCTTCCCCTCAAATGCAGAAAAACTTTACTTCAAACTGTCTCTGAGTCTGCTTGTTGTTGGTTCGTCCGTCTTTTATTTCACACTTGGAAAACAAAAACTGCATACGTCCTCAAATACGAATAAAATAAATGCTTAAATCAATTAGAACATGATACGAACGACAACAATTAAGTATAAGTGTATTACGTTACAGTTCAAATATAAAATGCAATCAATAATTTTAATGTACTTTACTCCCACATTTGAAAGTATATATTAAAGATGAAATATTACTATTTAGTTATATAACCAATATAACTATTGGTTTGTATAATAATTTGTAATCAGGTTAATAAATAACTTTACAAGTAGTAGGTACATGAAGACCCCAAACTATTTCTCTGTGCATCTTCACATCCTTCTCTGTTTTAGCCACGTTTGCCATTCGGGAAGGATTGTGATGCAGGGTGGCAGGGCAAACATTTCCAGCTTATTACTTTGATAGAAAAGTAAAACCAATGAACCTTTCACATTAGATAAGACAGCCAGCCTGTTTGTCCTTCTGGCGGAGTAGCTCCCATATGGGAGTCTCTGTGCGAATGTGTGTGTGAGTATCTGTGTTGGCCAGGATGAATGGCTGAATGGCTGGGCAGAAATGAATGACTGGCTGGAGACAAACATGGCTGGGCGGCGAGCATTGAAATTTAGCTGAGATAGTGTCCTTACTGATTGCTTCCTGCAGTGCCCACCAGAAGAAGATCCCGTGCCCCTGTGCCACTCCCCTCTTCTGCCGACCGCCTCTTGCGGGCCAAGTCGGTCTTCCTGCACTTGCTGCCAGTTGATTGTGTGCATCGAGTTCTTTCCTGCTCCAATGTCTTCTGTCACATTTATCTAGAAAGTTTTCTTTTTGCCCGCTCAAAGAAACCCCAACTGTTTGTCCTTCGCCAGCAGTTCCCCGGCATATCAAACATAATGGGAATAGATTTCAAAAACTTTTAGCCAGCGACACTGCTAGTGTGCTGTATAATGGCGCAAATGATGTGTTTACACTATCATATAAATGTCACGTGCAATGGTGTCTTTTGTTTGGGCACTTTTTTGCTGGACACATGCTTTCCTCAATTTATGGCCTCCTCTTACCCGTTCGCACGAAGGATTACTTGGCCGAAAGGGCGGCTACAGGAGCCTTAATGCCCGGGCGGCGGTCGAGGTAATTACCCAGCCAGGTGTTTCTCGGCTACTTTGTTATCTCTTATCTGAACACACACACACACACACCGCAGCGGCGATGTGCGTCATATGGCAGGAGCTGCATGTGCAGCAGGAGATGAGCTTCCTCTTAATGGGATTCTCCGAGTGGCAACCGCAACAAGCAGCAGCAAAAGCCCTGATGCGATAAGCGAAGCGAAGGAAATGAAACTCTCCGGCGGGGGGAAATCTTGGCAGATACGTCTGAGGTTAAAGCCAAGGACTCCACACCCACAATCCGGCGAAACGTCGTCCTATCATATTCACAAGCAGTCCCTGCGGAAATTGCGCACCCTTGTGGAAGCCGATTCCCTTCAAAATATTCCACGGAGGTCTTATTAACATCTTATTTATTTCAAAAATAAATAAGAAGTATTTAGCCTGCACTTACAAAGCGATAATATATTAAATATTTTTACCGCATTTAGAAGATTTGTTTAGTTTACGGTTTTTATCCCGATTCCATTCAAGTGGACCTAAAATTCCTTGGGACAAGCGTTTGATTAGCCCACTTGGGGAGCACCTCTTGCGTGCACCAAGCCAAGCGGAATATTCAAGTGGCCTATATGCCTGGAAAGGCAGGAGGAGCGCCATACAGCTTCCCCCACAACAATAAACTGCAAATGGTAACTCATGCCGGGTCGGGTCACTCCGTAGTACTTGAAAAACGAGCAGAGAGACCGTGGAAAGCCACAAAATACGGGCAGAAGGAGTGGCAGCAAAATAGGGGACAACAAAATGCAGGAGCCCAGGAGGAGTCAAGAGCTGAGAAACTTTAAAATGAAATGAAAATTATAAAGTAACTACAAAATCTTGATAAGAAATACAGCGCGGGGCGCACAGTTTAGGTGGGGAGGACCAACAGGACACCGAGGAAATGGCAAAAGTCATAAAATGTCGAGTTTTACGAGTGCAAAACGCAAGGGTCTAATCTGGGTTTACCATCAAAACTTGTTAGTGGGGAGGTGCTGGGTACTGGGTACTGGGTACTGGGGGGAGGCTCCAAGCTTTGGGGCACATAATAAGCAATGTCAACGCATGTGTGCAGGGGGCGTGGCCATTTGCTGCATTTTAGCCAAATGACGGAAACATTTTTGCACTTTAGGCAAAGTGCAGGGGGCAATTGGGGAGCCTAGAGTCCCGAAGGGGACACAACTAGGAAGAAGGAACGAAAATATTGCAACAATGTCATTAAACGCAACTTATTTCACCACCGACTTCGGCCGCTCCCCGCACAAAAACATTTGCATGCTGCCTGCCCCAAACACGCAACTTTGTTGTCAACTCTTTCCCCCAACACTCGCCGTCTCTTTCGCTAGTTTCCGCTTAAATGCCGCAACTAAATAACTTTAAGTGTCTTTTGAGTGGCCATTAGTAGCGGACTTAGCGGGGACTCCGCTAAGTGGGTATGCCGCTTTTGTTCGTTTGCTTAGAATTTATGCTGTGTGGCATGGATGCTTAAAGTCAGTCCAATGGACTCAGGTTGCCGGCTTCCTGGGCTTTTCAAACAAACAATAATGGTGTGGCTCAGTTCTCCAGGCTGAGCTTGTGCGATGTTTCCTCCCTGACCTTTGAGTTGCCATTCTTAAAACTACGTCATACTTAAATATGATTTTCATTGCAGCTTTAGTAATTAGTTGTGATATATATTAATTAAGACTCCCGCACAAAATTACTTGCCAACATTTACTTAACTTCTGTGTAAGGAAATAAGTTTTGAACCAATTCTGAAGTTACTGTTCAGAGCTGAGTATGTTGGCTAAGATACTCTCGAATTCCGTTGGCAAACAAGCAGTGCCAATACTGCCACAATTGAAGCGTGTGCAACAAGTGTGGCTGGAAATACTTTGCAATTTACCTGTGAACACTGAAACTAAATTAAAAGTTATAACTTGCGACTAATTCCAATTTTGCATACCGCTTTCAGGGCCGTCTTCATAGCCGACCAGCGATTCCTGGCCATCAAGCAGCCGGACAAGTACTGGACCCTGCAAATCAAGTACGTCCAGGCCCGGGATGCCGGCTCCTACGAGTGCCAGGTCTCCACGGAGCCCAAAGTCAGCGCCCGTGTCCAGCTGCAAGTTGTGGGTAAGTCAAGTCCAAGTCCAAGACCGTGAACATGAACACTAAATGCCAGGGCTTATGAATATGAGTTCGCTGCGGCTGAGTTAAGCGCATTATTTGCGGGTGGCAAGGGCAAAGGTCAAGCGGCAGCAAATGCGAAAACTTTTCAGCCTGCCTACAAAAGGCTGAGCCACACATGGGCTGAGATCTTTGCATGTTTCATGCGGCAACTGCATTTCAAATTACTCACTAAATTGCATTCAAATTGCGGCTGCTGACCATTGGCCATTGAAATGCTCGAAAAACGAGTGCAAAAACGTAAAGCAGAGCACACAGACGGAACATTTCTTTGGTCAGTCAAGTTTTTTAACGAGAAAACTTTTACGTGCAGGGCTCTGGTTTCGTTTTGGTTTCCCAGACACACAAACACACACACACACACACACACACCCGAGCACCGAGTAAAAAGTTAATTAAATTTCATGTTTGCATACCGGAAGAAACAGCATCAGCAGGCCAAATGAACAATGTAAATGTCAGTCGAGGGCATCGGAGGATGTTCTGGGCCCTGTAATTGATATGAAATTTCCCGGCTGCGGCTCTGGCTCACATTATTTATCTGGCCGGCACAATAACAACCGCATTGCTTGGGGCTATGACGCGGAAATCAGTGCGAATATTTTTGGGCCACGGCTATTCGGTCTCGGATTCGGATTCGAATTCGGTTTCATATCCGGATTTTATCTATGACACGGATGCATTCATTTGAAACGATGCCTGCTGCAACTCGGGGGTTTGCTTTACGAGAAACAACGTCCTTCGGCCAGAATTACACCATCATTTCAAATTCTTTGACAATTTAAGGTCATTTTAGCCCAGCTCAGATGGCAACGAAAAGAAGAGCGCCAGGCAGTGAAAGTAAAAAGTCAATTTGCATTTGAAGCCAACAAATTGAATTTTCTTTTATCCAACTAACACTTTGGTTTTATGGAGATCCAGCCCGAGGAGCTTGCTGCCGGCAAAAAAGGACACATCATGCGGAATCGAGGGATGAGCAGGGAGAAATGAGGGCAAGGGCAATAGACTGGATAATGGTGTTGCCAAAAAGTGATTTTCGCATTTCCGGCTCAGCTAATTTGTATGCTAAACACTTGCGCATGTATGCCAAACCTCATGTGTGCGTGTCCACTGGGAATAATCAGATTCAATTCGTGAAACTGAAATAAAATAGAAAACATTGAAATGTAGCATGTTAAATTAGGTCTGCTTGATAACCATAATATGTATTCAGGGTATACCCCACTTGAATTACAAATTCCAACAATGCAGTTCGTTTTGCAATTCTAATATTTTGGTTATACTTTTAACAGGGCATTTTAAAAATATATTTTTGAGTAATTCTAAAAGGCATTTGCTTGCTTTCTTAGTTGAACTACGAAAATGCTCAAGATCGAATTTTGTTAGTGTTAGCTTAAGAAATTGGGAGTGGGCGCAGGGCGTGGCAGCCAACAGGTATCCATCTGGAGCCAGAAATATTCGCCTATCTGAATTTCGTATGCGCGGCCACATTTGCGTTAATCTAACGACAAGTTTAAGCATAAAGGATTTCTATTCATGCCCGGCAGGGATTCTACGATCAATCTTTTCCCTCCACCGACTCGCCGTCTCTTTCTGAATAACCATTATTTGCAGTCGTTTGGCCATCCATGGCCATTTCCATTTCCAGTTCCCCGGCGAGGTCCAATCGGCCTTTGTTTGTTTGAAGTTGAATTTGGGTGTGCGTGGTCCTTCCGGTTCCTTTGCTCCTTTCCTCCCAATTCGGCTGGCCATAACCATTATCGGCAGCACCTATTCCTCACCACCCTGGAGCACCCCCTTGCAGTTTTTGCTGCCAGTTTTTTGCAACCGCTCTCCCAGTCTGCTTTTGGTGTCGCCCTGCTTGGCTGATTTTGCGCCTTTGCCATGTAATTTGTATTTATTGCATCGTTTTGTCTGCGCAAACCCCCTTTGCATGTTGTCGCTTTTTGCACCACCCACTCCCCACCCACTGCCACCGCCCAAAAGCATCCCAGGCCACCCAAAATCACCCGCCTTGACCCACCACCATCCGTTGGCGCTGAATGGATTCGATTCGAGTCTTTGGCAATGGATTTTATGTTGAGGCTTTGGCCTTTGCCTGCCCGCTGCTTGATTTCTGGGCCATATTCGGATGCAGAGCGAAGCTGGGGTAATAGGCTCGTAGTTTTCGGTCAATTTGTTATGTTAACAGCGGAGGGGACTGGGAAGGGATCCTTATTTGCTTTGTTGCCGGTTAAAATGTCAGCTTCTTTGGTTTTGGCTCATTTACTCGAGTTTCTAGGTCACCGAAATGGGCAGCACAATGGAGCCAAATCGCTGTTAATGCCCCGAAAAACATCAAGTCTGCTTAGCTGCAAACTTATGTAATAATCTTTTAAACTTTTCCCGGGCAACTCTACTGATTTATTCTTATGATCCGCATCCACGGGAGAGCTTTTCGCGGCTGACAAGGAGAAAAAAACCATTCGCACCCACAGTGACTCGCACACATGAATGCCAAATGAATGAATGAATATATTTTTTTCTGCATCATTGAACGACAAACTAGATTTGGTTTTATGAGACTCGCTTTCTGTTCAGCTCAGATCATCTCATCTCCAGGGTCGATGATTCCCCGTCTCATTTCGAATTCATTCTCGGATGGCTTGGTCTTATTTAATTTGCTGCTAATCTTGTATGGCCAAAGCCAATTTTGGGGTTTTCGTTTGGTTTTATTATTTTTTTTGGGATCGCACTTTATCTCGCCATCAAAAGTGACAATTTCCCTGTGATGTTTGCGCACCGCCTCTCGACTAATTTGCCTAAAAGCATTTCGCCATAAACTCAATTAATTTAAGTTGCTGCAATTCACTTGACACTCTTAACCAATTCCCCTCCCTTCGCACTTCTGCTCTCTTTGTGCTTGGAGAATTTCCCGAAATGTGGTCAAAGTTTTCTGGTTTCTGTGTCTGTTTCTGCGGCTCTCATTTAGCTTATTTTCTTTTTAAATTACTTCTAAAGACTAAGCATAATAGTTCCGAGTCGATGTTGTCATTGAAATTAAATTAAAAATGTGTCTTATGGTCACGTCTAAATCGAAGTTTTCACTGGGTTCATTTAGGGTTCAGAAAGCGAAGTTGCAGCTTATTTGGTAATTGGTATTCAAAGAAAGAAAAACAGGAGAGAAGGCTGTAGACGAGTTCCTCGACTATCACATACCTTTAACTCTGCCAATGCAATAAATAACTTTAAATAACGTTATAGTCGAGATCCTCGACCATGAGATACTCATTAATCAGCTACTAGAAGTCCCAACGAGAAATTTCAACATTTTTTGAAATATTGGGAAAAAATTAAATTAACTTGAAATATTAGAAGACATGCCTTACAGTCTTCACCAGAACTAGTTGGGAATTATAGGGCTACAAGAAAATATGTTTCCTTAACAAATATTAAAAGCGGAAATAACTATGTGTTCCAACAATAAGTTAAACATTCTTCAAGAACACATACACTACACATACACTCACTGCTCGACCGGTTAGAGAGATTACTTGAAATATTTTGTGACTGTAAATTAGAAGACATGCCTTACAGTCTTCACTAGAACTAGTTGGGAATTATAGGGCTGCGACTTATTCTAGTGTCTTTGGTTCCACGTTGTTGTACTTGGGAAAATGAATGTTAAACTGCTGCTTTTACATCAGGCCCCCTATCCTCGACTTAATTAGAGCCATAAGAGTGTCACAATTTTCTGACTGGAAAATTATTCCCTCCCCGGGCGGTGGATATCCCCAGATAAAAGTTGCGTCGGCGATAAAGTGGAACGGTTGCTAATAACATTGCACTTGCTGCTGCTTCAGCTGCCGCAGTACGTAGTATACCTCTAGTAAATTTTTGGCATATTTTTTGCTGCTTCGTCGCGAATCTCCATCTCCAGTCAAGCTGCTGGAAAACTAACATTCAACAACATGACGATTTTGACAAGCTGACACAGTTTGGTGTCAAACCAAAACTTGGCGCGTGCTCCCCGACTACAGTACGTACTGGCACTACACAGCCATGTAGAAGCCCACACACAGATACTCTGGGGCATAGTCGGGCATTTTGTGTAAATTCTCGGCGCACTCATTTTGCACATTTTTGTGTAACAGCAGTGAAAACTCGGCGTATACGTGATTTTGTCAAATTTCAAAGCTCACGTCGCTCCACGCTGCCCCAGCAAATGAAGACGCACAGTTTTCCCGCTTTTCCGCAGTAGTGGGGGAAGGAGGGGGGAAGGTCGTGTGAAAATGTATGCGCCAACATTTCCAACTTGTTCGGCTGTGTGCGCTCCCTATTCACCGCCTTTTTTGCTGCTTTTCTTCCATTTTTGTTTGACAGAACTCTTAGTTTGTTATGCATGTGCATGTCTGTTGGCCAAAAAATCACCCCGGTGCCCAAAACGGCAGCAGTCTGGGGATGGGTGTAGTTCAAGCTGGAATCAGTAAGTGAAAAATTGAAAAGTGGATTTTCTTCGGAGGCGGAGTGTCGTCCTGCCACAGCCAGATTTACGTGTGCGACGTGACTCGTAGCTGTTAATTCAATAGATTAGCGAAATGACACAATTTCGAAGCGCCGAATTTGCCACTTCCACTTATGCGCACTGCTCTTCTACTCTCTTCCCATGCCGCAGTTCCCCGCACGGAGATCCTGGGAGAGCCGGACCGCTACGTGAAGGCGGGCAGCAACGTGGTCCTCCGCTGCATTGTGCGCGGCGCCTTGGAGCCGCCCACGTTCATCATGTGGTACCACGGCGCCGAGCAGCTGGCGGCCGACTCCCGCCGCCACCGCACGCAACTGGATCCGAACCTGCCGGAGGCCTCCGGCGAAGGTCAGAGCACGGTAAGTGCCAATTTTACTTAAATGGACATCATTTTTGTAGCTATTACTCAATTTGAAAAGCACAAACCAAGAAAGAGAAAAGATAAACTAACCAATTACTTTGCGTAATAAAGCCATTAGAATGTATTATAGATACCATAATAGTATCTTTAGAATTATTCAGTTGCCCAGCAATTTCATTGATTTAAACTATTTAATGTTTTATCACCTTTATGTTTATAAATTAAATAGTTTTATTTAATTGTTTTATCATACTGCAATTAAGACAAATTCGCTCTGTAGCTTAAAGCATCTTCCACTTGGCCGGAACCAAAAGACAACTGCTCCCTTGTTATTTTTTTAATTTAGTTACACTCAACTTCGAATGGATTCTTGGCTGCCGCTGGCAAGCGAGAAATATTATAATTTTGTTTCGCAAAGTTTCAGTTGTGTCGCATTTCTCCTAATTGCCTGGCCATAACTTTCTTCCCTGTGCCGCGGGGCAAAAAGTCAGTTCCGGCACATGCTCGATATTTGGAATACGTGTGCCCATGTCCGAGTAAAAACCGACTGTGTTTATCTTTTTCTTTTCCGAACTTTTCCTTGGCTTCCGAGCACCGTAACTGAGTGGGCCTGTGTTTTTCTCTCCTGCAGATTGGCTCATTAATCATCGAGTCGGCCAAGAAGCGCGATACTGGCAATTACACATGTAGCCCGTCGAATAGCCCCAGTGCGACCGTAACGCTGAACATAATAAATGGTGAGTTGCAGTCCGGGCATTTGCTCGCAAAAACTTCCCTTACAAATTAAATATAGAAATTAAAGTCGTACTGCACATAGAAGTTCATTTGATGCAACTTGAAATGTCGCTATTTATCAAGTTAAATACTTGTGAGTAATGGTATTGATGACATAATGAGGCTAATACAACATTTTATTATTATTGAATGGACAACAAATTATAAAGGAAACTAATTTTACGATTGTATAAATAATACTTTATCCAAAGATACCGACCGTTCATATATAAAATCATATCTAACCCAATGCCCTTGAAGTTACAAATGATTGTTGCCTCTGCATTTTCCCAGGCGAATCGTCGGCTTCGGCGGTCACCTCCTCGGCAGCCACCACCCGGGCCTACGCCCTCAGCATCCTGGCGCTCCTGCTCAGCGTCATCCTCATCGGAGTGGGCCACCACACATGACATGTCACTGCCAGCAAGCCAAACTGAATGGCCGAAGCAATAGCAGCTACTAGACAGTGAGAAGATGGGAAGCCCAACACTCTGCCAACGTAAAAGTAAAAACCAAATAGCAAAAGCGAGAAGAACAGAGAGATAAAACGTAATAACCGAGTGCATGTTGTAAGCTAGTTGATTTTATCCACTAACTAATAGCCAATACATACACGTATAGAGGATGAGTCCGTATCCCAGAAAAAGACAGGCATTTTCGAGAACCCCGAGTCCCAGCTAAGCGTAAGTTCTACCGGCTCTAAGCAAACTAGTCAGTAAGCCCCTAGTCCTAACCGAATTTGTTACGTAGTTTTGTTTTGGTTTTTGGTTTTTCGGTTCGGTTCGCTTCGGTTCGGTTCGGTTCGGTTTGGTTCCGATGCGGGAGTGGCGTATGCGGGGCCTATGTTTTGTGGAAAATACCGAGTAAGTTTGCATAAATGAATAACAGTAAATATTTATGCAGTCCGATGTGAAATTGCATCGATATCCTGAACCCATTCGGACCGCATGGGCGAGCGGGGCAGGAAGAGGGATCGGGTTCTGGGAAATTCCTGCCATCAAACGAATGCGTTTTTGGAAAAATGCAACTCGAATGCATTTGCATGGCAATTTGAGTCTGGAACAACATTTGCAGTCTCCTTCCTATGTGGCGACATGCTGAACTTTTCAATTAGCCATATCTCCCGCACTCCTCGCACAGTTTTCCTCCTCCTCCTCCTCATTCTCTCTTTCTCTATTTCTCTCTCACTCACTCACGGATGCCGGACAATTTTGAATATTTATTATTTTTAGCAAATACTAGACTCTGACCTCGTTTCTGGTCAGAGGAAATGAAACTTCTTTCGCCAATAAATTTGAAAAATGGCATAGGCCGTCCCAGGGATCGTAGAAGTTCTGAATGATTTGCAAGGAGTTTATTCAGCATTATCTTTGGCAAACATAACACCCACATACTCGGACTCCTGATGTATCTGGCACATCGCAAACATTTGCATAGCCAATTTATGGAACTCTATTTTATGTGCTCTTATCTCACGAACAAGCTCGAAACATGCGGGAAAAACCAAAATTCATAAAGTAAATATTGCGTAAGAACAAAAAATTATAGCAAATACACTCATTGATCGGAATGGACGAAATGGACGTCCGGCAAGCAAAAACAATTTAATTGATAACGAAAGTAAATTTATTGAATTCAGCGGACTGAATCGCGAACTGTATATAACTCCATTGCGAAATCGTTCAGCAAAATGTAAATTAATTGAATATACAAATAATATAAATGGCAGAATCCAACCAGAGACGTATTCCAAACACTAATGAATTGCATTTAAACGATACAAATAAATACATAAAATAAATAAACAAATAGCAGCAGGCAGGAGACAGGAGACAAAGGCGCAAGGCGGCCAAAGAAATAAATAAAACGAATCAAACGGACAAAATGTAAACATCGTGTGCATTGCCAACCCGCAGGCCCGGCTCGTATTTATTTATCCACTTAACGTCCTTTTTAATTACACACACTCCCCCGATCCACGGCAAATCCCATAAAAATCGCCCGAAATTAATTAAAGTTGTCTCTGCTCCTCAATTTGTATGTACGTGGAAAGTGAGGCTGCAGCGTCAACTTAATTGCAATTAGGTGCAGACCCACTTCCACTCCCACTCCCACTCCCATTCAAACAATGCCCTCAAAGCGGCATTAATTATGTGTGCGATTGTCCCAAGGCGTCGGCTGTCACACCCTGCGTATACTTGATGCTCCCGCCTTTGAGCGCTCAACAAATTGATCCCGGGCCAAGTTAACCGCAAGCAGCTGTGAGCCAACACAAACACGCTCCGCAGACGGGCGAGAAAAAGCCGCGGAAATAAATTTCTGCGGTCAATATTACAGCGGGCGGGCAGGTGGGGGTAATTTAACAGGGATTCTTTTCACGGGTGTGGACAATTAACACATTCCGGCTTGCATGCATCAAATGCTCGCGGTCTGCGGCTAACCACCTTTGAGCCACCCACCCATTTTCACACCCACCCCGAGTAGCGCCCAACCCTGACACTTATATTCAGCCTTTTATTTTCCGGCCAAAAGGCCAGCAACAGCCTATTGGACACCCCATAAAACCGAATGTTAAACAATGAAAGTTTGTAAGACCTAAGCGGCGTATATGACCATAGCAAGTACTATACAAATCGAAATCAAAATACATTTCTAAGCTCTTAAGTGTTTTCCATCAGCTCGATTAACGTGTAGCCTCCATTCGTGTAATTATCAACACCCGACTAATTGTAAATAAATCGCATTACACGCAAAAGTCCCAAATTCGCAGAGGTGTGGACGTTACTTTTTAAAGACAGACACTGGAACACACGTGTACTCATGATATAGCAAAGTTTATTGTTAAGTACCGACTAATAACAAAAATACTTACACATATACATATGTAAACGAAACTAAGAACTATGTGAACTTTAACTGACAAATTTATTGCATTACATACAATAAAATAATACAATTGAATAACTTAAAGAAGTCTTTCCATTGAGGTGAAACTAAAACAGGCTTTTCTTTATTATTATTATTCTAATGGTAAGTACAAGGATTGGTAAGATTAGATTGAAATAAATACAGCAAAACTGCAAAATATATAACATTTCTTAATGCAAACCACATTTTTAAGCATTCATTTAGTTGACAGAATATTAAAACTTATATATATTGGCTTGGCTTAGTTTTCCTTGTTTTAAAGACACAGAACATCATTAGTTTTTTTCGCATAAATCTTAAAAATAAAACAGTTTTAAAATTCAATGAAGGGACTTTTTTGATTTTCTTTTTATCTTTACAACATTTTTATATGATTGATGTAAAATAAGCATATGGCTTCTATTATTAAAAACCCATATCTGATAACATTCTAAAACAAAACCTAAATACGTGTTACATTTTAATTCACAAAATTTGGCATGCACTTTGAAAATTATTAGGATATCAGTTATATATTACTTATTATATTCAGTTTTTGGTTGTCAGCTGAACTATACCAATATATATGGGTATCCAAACTATTAGGTTGGAATTTGGTTCGCCGCCAAAAGAAAGGACCGACTGTTTTCGATAATGATGTGGCGGAAGTGGTCGTTGATGGCGAATCCGCGAATAACGTTATGGAGCACCATGCCCATCAACTCGCCTGTGTTGTCGTCGGTCATAGTCTGGGGAACGAGGTGGATCACGGCGTATGCCATTACGATGCACGACTGCCTGTCCATGACAATGGCGGCCACCAGGCGACCGATGCCTTGCTGTCCGCTTGGGGAAATTCCCTCTTCAGTTGTGAAACCCTTGGCCAAGGAGAGACCCCTGGCAACAAAACTCACCGTAGCGTCGTTGACATGGGCGGGGGGGTCCATATAGGCGGCTGCCGAACGCAGCAGGATGCAGGACACCTCCTCCATGTCGGACCAGAAGACGTCTGGTGAGGATTTGCCGTGATGAGGACAATGGTCAGTATGCAAGCTGGGGATCGATGGCGGCGAGTATGCCTGGAAGACGAAGTCCTGGTTGAGATAACGTATAAAGTCTGTCACCTCGGTCACTTCTCCAGGAGAATGGCTAAGAGTCTCAGACGCGATCACTTTGTAGCTGGCATCGCAACTCTTCAAGTCATCGCCTTGCCCAGCAAAGAATCCCGAATATGCGATATCTTCGGGCACATTGACCGTGAGTTCTTCTGGATCAAAGAGAAGGGGTTCCTCCAATAGATCTGCCACGTTTATTGTGGAAGTGACGATTTCTTCCATTTCTTCCATCGAATCGCGGTCTACGACCTCGTCTAAATTCTCTTCTGGAGCCATTTCCTCCTCGCTCTCCCAGACCACGTGCATTGTAGGAGTGTCCATTACTTCCATCAAAACTGCGTAGTGTTCGACGTCGGCTAAATCGTCTTCTGGAGTCACTTCCTCATCGTTCTTCCAGACCTCATCATAGATTAGGAAATACTCCTCATCGAAATTCCCTTCATCGTTGTAAATAAGTAGTAATTCATCTTCATCATTCGAAAGGAAGACATGATCGTAAAAAATTTCATTATCCATCGTAGTGTTGCCAATTATCGTATTTATTATCTTATTGTCCAGAAAAACTTTCTTAAGAAACGTGCAGTTGCCAGGGATGGAGAGTTAAATACGCATCTATCGATAACATATTTTGTTATGGGCGAATGGCGATTGTTTGGAGCAATTGGGGATTGCATGCATATAAATTCTCATTATATAACATTAGTTAACAAATACTTGACAAATTGAATGTCTGTTGAATGAAAAGTAAAATAAATAAAATTAGTGTCTTTTTTGTACACTATTGCACGTTTTCCTTGAAAATTTAACATCGACTATTATCACTTACAGTATTGTAAAAAACATATCCCAAAAATTTTGTTTTCATTTTCTATTATTTCTGTCCTTTTATGAAAATGTTTAAAATATTTTCCATAACAAAGAACAGTTGAAATTGCACGAACAAGTAGAATCGCGGCCAAATTGAAGCCCAAAGAACTAGTTTATTACATAGTTTTCTTGGCATCTTTATTAAAGAAGACGACAACTCTGGTATGCTTGATTTCAAAAGCTGATGAATTGATGAAGCCAATTTGCTGGCCAAATATGCGATTTAGCAATCATCAGTTAACGTAATTACCTAACAATTATCTCTGTGGGTTTAAGGACGATATAATTAAGCTTGGTGTTGGATGGCCAATAATGAAATGTTAAAATATTTGTGTCGAAATGGGAATAAAACCAGTTTGGGTGTATTCACAACGGATTAAAGAGGGCGCAAAGGTATCAAATTAAACAATCCGAACGGGTTGGACAATGGCCATCGGGTCAAGGTCGACTCGTTGTCTACTGCCAGGCTAAGCAACAAGGACAAACGTAACTGAAAGGATTGAAGGCTTAATCCGGCCATTTTCCATTAGGACAGTCGACGTCCTGCAATTGTAGTCGGCCTCTTTGTGTCTGGCAAATAAATTAAAGCGGGAAACATCGAGAGATTCCCTATAATAGTAGCCCAGGATATTAATAAAACGGATAAAGTCCGCAATCGATGGGCATGTTTATTAGTATAAGTAAAAGAACAAAAATATGTGTTTGGCTTTTCTTGAACTGTACTTTGCTGTTTTTATACCCATTACTCGAAGAGTAAAAAGGGAAGGAAGCGTTTCCGAGCATATAAAGTATATATAATATATTCTTGATCAGGATCAATAGCGGACTCGATGTCCAAGCATGTCCGTCTGTCCGTCCGTATGAACATCGAGATCTCACGAACTATAACAGCAAGAATGTTGAGATTAAGCAGGAAGATTCCAGATTTTAAGAAGTTTTGAGATTTCTCTAACGGCCACAAGCCGCCCATAACCCTCCCGCCCACACTTTTTTTTTTATTTTTTTAATTTTATTATTTTATTTACCAATTTCTATCGATATGCCAAAAAGAATGTTGCATTTTCTCGTTCGCTCTCCCAGATGTAACTAGATGTGTAACGGTTATCTGATAGTCGATGAAGTCGAAGATAACGATTTCTCTTGTTTCAACTTATTTGTTTCGTATTTCAATTACTGAATATTTTATTGTGAAGTATCAATTTCTGTGGAAAGTTGAGATGCCTTAAGTATACCGCGTTCCTTAAACCTTTTTTTGTGATTTTCTTGTGATTATCCTTTGTCTCGAAACATAATGATATAGCTATCAAAATAATTTATGTTTCTCATCGCATAATATTTTCATTAGAAATATTAGTTGCTTAAACTATTAATGTTTGAAAATTGCCTTAAAAAAAACTGTCATTCTTTGCCATTTAACACAGTAACACAGTCTCGGCTTACCATTTTGAATCCTACAATTTGAGCTTCTCCACACTGGCTTTGAACGGCGCCCAAAAAGAATCCTCACAACCAATGCCTGGACAGGATTTGTCTCAACTTTCGAACGCAGCTTTCAAATGCAAATTTAATGCAGCAGCCAACGCTGCGAAGCCGCATAATTCTCGAAAGGGGAACTAATGAGGGCTCATTCAACGAGGGGAGTGGCAGGCGAAGGAAATGCTGGGAGGCTGACCAGGCTCAGATTTGGTTTCATCTGGAGCTTTTGCTTTTGCTTTTGCTTGGCTCGTAACAGGGTCAAACTGTAAGTAGGAAATGCAAAGGGCATTCACATTTTGATTTCATTATTGCCATTTTCTGGGCTGCATACTCAGACTGACTTCCGAGTGCAACGTCACTGCCTCAAGGATAAGTTTCACCTGCTTTTCCTCTAATAAGTGAGCACCTGAATGCGACCTAGTAGGCTGGTGTGTGTGCGTGTGCCCATTGTGGGTGCTCTCCTCACAAGGTAAGCCATTGAAAGCAGCCAGGATCATGGAGCAAAGGGTGGTGGCTAATGCCAAAGAGCCTTTCCTTCGAGCAGCCGCACACACGGACACAACAAAGACGCCTTTCAATTTGAGGCGGAAAAGTTTTTGGGGCTTTCGGAATCAAAGCCAGGCCCAGCGGTTGGAATGCGATTTGTGAGGCAAAGGAACATGTTTAAGCGCGATTTTATTACCGAAAAGGATGCATTCGGATCGAGATGTATTTCCTTCGGCACCGCAGCACTGTTGGTCATTTGCCAACATTTTGCAAGTTACTTTCGGTGCACTTAAGGTGGTTATCATGAGATATTTAAGAGGAAAATATTTGTAGGCATTTTTCATACTCTATAACATTTCCAGATTTCAGAAAGTACGTTTGCGTTATTAGTATTAATAACGTTAATAACGTTTGCGTTAATAGTATAAGTATTACACGCTCTATTTTAAAAGAAACATCTTTTCCAAGGGGAATGCTATTAAGATTTAATTTCCACTCTGTTAAATTAAACCCTGTTCAGTAACTTCTTTATAACAATTTTGAAATATATTTACGCAGATTTAATAGGAAAAAACTTGCGCTGTGTATATGTCTCTGGAATCTGCCTGTTTAATCTTAACTTCCTCGCTTTTATAGTTCCTGAGATCTTGATCTTGACGGTCGGACGGCATTTTATTATTTTAATGCAAATAAACTATAGAATAATGACGCGGAAAAGAAAAAAATTTATAGATAAATAAATAAATATACAAGTCTTAGGAGCAAAGATAGCCACCTATGATATTGTTTTGTCTTCCATTTATGTCAACCAAATTAGAGCACTTAAATTAGAACGTTTGTGTTAAAACTCTTTAAAAAAGCCTTTACCGTTTTAAAAGGAATGGCCACCATAAATCATTGGGCCAAACTTTAGCCGAAACATTACCAACTGCTGCAAACATATTTCCCGAAATTATGCAGAAAGAAAAGGTCGTTTCCGGTGGCTCAAAAGGCAGAGAAATGGAAAAGTGGAAAAACGGAAGCATGCAGGACATGAGTAAACAAGGACCGGCCAAGGCCGCTGGCCCAAAATTTATAAATTTCCGCTGAAAATGAAGTTTCAGAAGTTCTGCATCAATGGGTTAATTTTAAAGCAAAAGGACCCTTGAGTCAGACCAAGTCGAGCCCAAAAAGGAAGCCGAAAATGGTGACACCGGACATGAAATAATTTCAATTTTTGGTCATTTCCCCAGCCGAAAAATAAAGGAGCAGTTCCACCGAGAAATGAGTGAATTTAAATGTTTAATAAACTTTCGCCAACTACGCACACAAATGGATGAAATCCTCCCCACAGCTTTCCACCACCCCTTTTACGCTTTTCTCTCCCCATTTCCCACCAAGCCGCAAACTGCGAAAATGGCCAAGAGAGAGTGTGGCAAAAGGGGCAGCCCAGGCGTCGCCGTCATTGCTTTACACTTTTCTTCTAGCACTTTTCATTCATTTAATTTTCCCGGTCACCTTTTTTTTGTATGTAGCCGCTTTTCCCCTTAGCAGATGGCACTTGGGTATTTAACGTTCGCTAATGCCTCCAGCCGCTGCCGCTGCCGCTGATGCCACTGCCACCGCCTCCGTTGCGGTGCAAATGGGGCGTGGCATCGTCCTGGCCAGGCCAAAACCAAGGCGACAGTTGGCGGCCGTTTCCTAATTACAAATCACTGGCGGTTCCCACAGCGACGCCGAGGGAAAATGCTGCGAAAAATAAGAAAAAGGAATTACATTCTTTGCAGCAGCAGCAAGTTCCTCTGTTTTGTTGCTGCTTTCTTTTCGGACTTTCTGGGTCAACAATTATGCAAAATACTGTTATTTTAGGAGCAGACCGTCGCATTTATCTGTCCCTTTTCTGGTTGGGACTTGCGGCCTTAAACAAAGCGCTACCTAAAAAAAAGCAGAGTTTCAGGGTGGAAAATGTGGCGCATCCGTTTTATAATTAGTTAGCGACCCCCTGCAGAAAACGGGGGAAATGGCTAGAGGGAATCTGGGAGGGCGAAACAGCTTTTAAGCGCGAATTAAAGATTTAATTGCTCGAAATTTGGCTAAGTACGTTGAGCGATTATTGGTGTTACTTCTCGGCCCTTTCCCCATTGCCCATTTCAGTTTGAGTGATGTAATGGTTTTCGTATTTAAACTCCTAAAATTAGCCAAATGTTCATCTATGACCCAAAAGGGTCAAGAAGTTACCAAGAATATTTGCACAACCACAAAAGAAATTAAGGGAATTCGAATGTTTTCTTTTTACAAGAATACAACGACTTCTATGTATATTTCTTGTTTGTTTCCTTTATCGTTGCAAGCTGCACAAGTCAGTCGCTTTCCATGATAGTAAAGTGCACCTGAGCAAAAGCCATTACACTAGCTATATTACGTCAGTCCTTCTAAAAATACAAAAATAAATTATTTAATGGCATTTAGGCTAATATTTTTTGCAAGAATTTCAAAATTGCACTTCCACTAACTAGGAAAGGGTATCTGATAGTCGAGGAACTGGTTTAAGTATTCTCTCTTGTTATATTCTTATAACATGCAAAAATAAGTTACCGAAAATAATTAGGGACATCTAGTTTACTTCAAAAATATTATATATTTGTCTTAGAAAGAAAATGTAGAACTCATTACGGACACAGTTATGTACATACCTTTAAACCGAAGGG